CTAACAGGACTCTGAAAGAAAGAATAGTCTCATCAGAGGATCTAACAAGCAACTCTTTTTAGTCCACAATCCTTTTTGTATACATTTTGACACTTTTACTTTCTTACCCGTGTTCTTTCATGTCTTGAGTTGAGCATCTCTGCAGCCTTTTTCATTCCAGTTATTTTTCTTCCTGATTTCAAGGCTCAGCGAAGAATAGGACTAAAGTTCAGGCTAAATGGATAATAAGGTCTTCTCCTTTCAATGAGATATACATTTTATGGCATACAAGTACAAACTGGCCATTGTGATTACAGTCTGAGCATGAAATCCCCATTTCTTCTTTTTCTCTCCCGGTGCTGATGTGTTATTAAGGCAATGGCATATATTGTCTGTGGTGATGGTAGCAGGCAGAATGGAAAACCTAGGAGACTTGGGATCAAATTCTGACAAACACAAAGATCTCTTTGCACCTCTGGAACAATTCATAGAGTTTATGATTAGCCAAGCATCTTCCCAAGGTGAGGAAGTCTGTGGCTTCTGTAAAGCAAGGGAAACTGCCTCTCTGCCAGCACCTTTCAGCCCATAGCTAACAAAGGGGTGGAAGAAGGCCCCGAGTGCACAGCATTTCAATCTACCTTGCCAAAGAAATGACTCATAGGGCCAACCCTCAGTTCATCGAGGGAGGAAAATGTGGGTGGCTTAGAACAACCCTCACCTCCCCAATCTCAGCTGCACCAAGCTGCACTCTGGAGCAGGTGAGGATTCAGTTAGGAAGAGCCAGGTCTGAGGAGTGAACCAAGAAGAGATAGAAGGGAGAAGAAGGGAGAAGAAGCTGTATTTAGGGTGATTCTTTCCCTTAAGAGAAGGCAACTTCTGTCTGGGAGCCAGTTAGCTAATGGAAACTGAGGCATAGCCCCAGATTTACATGTTTGATCAAGTCAGGCAGGGAAAGTAGACAAAGAGGAGACATGCGAGATGTCAAAAGGTACCAACCAGAATATTATTGAAAGACATCCTGAGCACCCCTGCTGACATTGCTCTAATATCATCATATCAAGTGGCAGAAATTTGAATGGAAAAATTATCTCTTTCTTCTATGTTGGATAGGGCTTTTTTGCCTTTTTCTTCAGCAATAGTTGGGTTGGCATGTTGCTGTAGCCATAACAGTGCAAGAAATATGTGAGAAGCAAAGGGGTTTGGGTTTTTTTTGGTTATATCCTTTATTGGCCCAACTGTATAGTTGGTGGAGATGTTAGACAAGCTTTTGGGCATCAAATGTCCTTCTTCAGGTCATTACAACACTGTGACTGGCCAAGGATTCAGCAGTAGCAGCAGTTTGAAAAACAAGCCCATTGTTCACTCCCAAGTTCTCCCCAAACTATTGATGCTTCCTCCTGAACAAGCAAGGAAATCTTGTTGGTGGGGTTCCCTGCCCAGGGTCCTAATGGCAGCCCTTCGTTTCTTGCAGACATTGATGAGTGCCACTCAAGCCCCTGTCTGAATGGAGCTACCTGCGTTGATGGCATCGACTCTTTCAAATGCTTATGCCTTCCCAGCTACGGAGGGGACCTGTGTGAGATCGGTACGGCCTACTTGGCTTCAGCTAATGTTACTAACAGCTGCACCCCTGAAAAAAATTACTCCTCTCCCCCCAAAACTGCTCCCATCAGTCCTGCCTTCATCTCAATAAGCTAACCCCTAACAGCAGATAAAACACATCTGTGTAGAAAAGGTTGCATCATTTGCATATACATTTTTATTATTTTTTTCATCACAACATCTTGTTTCACTGAGAAATTTTTCTTTGCTGCTAGGAGACCATGGTAGCATTCACTGCCTTCTAGGGGAACTGGTATCTTTCTGGCCTTTCTTAAAGAGAGAAATAATACATTTTCTTGAAGCTTTGTCTGGTGCAACTGAACACTGGACTTAAGAGTATTCATTATGAGCAAAGATATGCTTTTGGGTCGAAGAAAGTCTTTGTGTCCATCTATAATAACAGAACAATGTCCCAAGCACATCCTCCTGCTACATAAACCTTCTCTGCTCCTCTGAATATCAGTAGAAGATGAATGATTTGAACCAGGTGAAATGACCACATTTTACTCTGCAAGGGTTCACTTGCAAAAAGCTTCAGTCGTTCCTATGAATTCTTTAAGATTCAACTTGGCATGACACTTTTGTCATTTCCTGCAATGAACACAGCTTTTCATGGCAAAAATGGCAAGGAGTGCAAATCTTTGAGATAAAAAAAGGGGAAATTGTATTTTTTCATCAAAATGGTACTTTCCTGTCCGTACAAAATGGTACTTTCCTGTCTATAATCCATCTGTTAATGAGATCTTGACATTGCATTGTCAATAATGCAACATTCAAGTTGGCCACTTCCCTGGATAACAGTGAAAAAATTCCAGAGAAAAAAAATCTTTCATTATCTTGAGGAGGCAGAATGGATGACCTAAATACTTCCCATTTTCTAACTTCTGAGAGTCTCTAAGAACATCTGTGAGCTAAGTGACCTTTTAGATGAGTTCTTCTGTGCTATACACACAATCAGTCATTCTTAATGACTCAAAAGTTCAGAGATAGTGCCATTTAATATATATATATTTCACCTGCTTCTCATAGATGATCACTATCCACATTTTCCACAAGTAGCTGCTATATGCAAGAACCTAGGGATTTCCTGTGAAATGTTCTGCTGAGGTTGTACATCATTCCCTATCCCATCCCAGTAATTGTAATAGTTCTGAGGTGAGAATTAACCACCAGAAAAAGAATTTAGACTTGGAAAGACCTATTATATTTGTCCTCACCTCATCTTGTATATCTCCATTGGAGGTGAGATGGAGGCAAGTAAGGATTGTGAGCACTGTCACAGCTCCAGGTGCTAGGGGTGGCCCATGAAATCCATTAAGGAAATGGGCAGAAAAAGAGTATTGAAAGACTGCACCAACCAGCCCATCCACGGCGGGTTAGCCACTGAAGTCTGTAGAGTGTCCGTGAGCCTTCCTGGTTCAAGAGCACTGCAGCAACAGAGTAAGACAAGCTGGAAAGTCTAAAGGAGAGAGCACTCTGGCATGGCAACACACAGCCAAGAGAGGATGGTCGATAAGCCCGCTGCCACTGAAAGGCTGCTGTGAAATAAACCTCCATGGTGCCACTTCTTGAGCTCCCATTAGCACTAATGCTACACATCCACCTCATCTGTGGTTTCATCACACTTCTTTGCTTTCTTCTTTTGGATCTTGCTGTGGCAATTCCTTGCATCTGGCTTTGTGCCTTTTCTTGGCTGATCTGATTCTGGCTACTAATCAATGCAAGAGGTGTGAGAAATGGTGGGATGTAGTACTTGCAAAGCACCAGAGACCTGGTCATTTTAAGGTTTGAGCATAACTTCCTGCAGTGCAGAGTCTGTTTCCAGAACCTCTGTAACCCAAATATTCATTGCCAGGCTCCATATTTTCTTATCTATGTCTCATATATCATATGGTACCCATTTCTGAGTCTTGGTTCCCTGTTAAAAACAGACGTGGAAATTCTCCCAGGCCTGGGATCCTACAGATAAACAAGCCCATTGCCCTACATTAGGTATCTGAGAAGTATCTAGACTATCACTTCACCCCCAACCTGTTTTGATGCGAGTCAAAGCCCGGAACAATGAGCCCAGAGAGAAACTGATTTTAGCCTAAGAGAATCTCCCATAAACATCCTCTTCCTCTTGCAACTAGGACTTCAGGAGAAAAGAAATAATTCCCCTTGTTAGAATACATTAAATTGGCTAGTTTCTCTGAATGGGGAAGAAAGGAGACACAGGTTTCCCTCGCTTTATGCTGTACACACGTTCCTGGAAAAAGGTGCATAACTCAAATTCGCATAAAGGAACCCACTTTACAATGTAACAAATAGGGATATGTTCCAAGACCTCAACTGTATTGACCCCCAGACCCATTTCTACCACTTTTACAAGACAATTTTGGTACTTGCCAACAGCAGACAGTACACACAAGGGTGGTGGTCAGTGTTACCATAATGGGGGTGGCAACTACAGAAACACGTGTCGCAGACAAGGAGCGAGGAGCACAAATCCACACAGGAGACTATATTTTGGTGCGCATCACTCCTACAATGCAGCTGACTGCAGGCTTCACCACACTGATCGCATAAGAGTGAATTTACCTCGCATATAACGAATTTTTGGTATAAAAGGGTCATCGCATAAGAGTGAATTCACATATACAGAACCCGCATAAAGCGAGGGGAACCTGTAATTCACTTGTTAAATTTTTCAAGCTCTGACCCCAATCATAATATAAAGAAATTCACCTATTTTGTGCCTTTAAATTGCTTTCATGGCATTTCTAAGTGATCACCAGCATTAGCCATAAGAAGAAGCTGATGGAGAAAAAATGCAAAGAAACTACTTTAAAAATGGTTAGAAATGTAAAAATCGATTTCCCACATGGTAAGTCCTGCCTTACGTTCCTTTTCTCTGATCTCATCCAGGTTACTTATCTCACTGGAGAAGATTCAGAATCACACTGAGTGATGTTGCCAGCTGAATCTGAACTCTGACTTCTCCTGCCTTTCTCATTTATCACCTGTGAGCACTGATTCTGGGGATCAGAATTCAGGTCTGAAAGGCAAAAATTGTCCTATGATGCAAGAAAAATCAGCAGGACTGTAGTGAGGGGGAAAGTAATGATGTCTGGGTCTGTTTCTCAGCTGTGGAGTTCTGGAACCTGACTCATGGTTTGAAACACACAGGACTTGCTCGGTCTATTTACATTACAGCAGGACATTTAAGCCATCTCCCCTCCATAAATTATTCTTTTGATGCCGTCTCATCATTCCCCCAAGGATGTGCCATATGACATAAGCAAGATGTATTCTTTAGTGGATGTGACTGTGTATTGTACTTCTGATCTGCAAGCAGTTAGGCTGCCAAGAAGTGTGTCAGAGGGCTCTCAGCCCTGATTGCATGCAGCCTCTTTTCATTCCTCTCTTGTGTGTTTCAGACCTGGAGGACTGTGAAGTGGGTTGGACCAAGTTCCAGGGCCATTGTTACAGGCACTTTGAAGAGAGAGAGACCTGGGTGGATGCTGAGACACGGTGCCGAGAACACCAGGCTCATCTGAGCAGCATCATCACCCCTGAAGAGCAAGACTTTGTGAACAGTGAGTGCTGGGGGTAACCACAAGGACCAGAGGATGGAGGGGAACAACCAATCTGTCTGTATAGGACTTAAAAATCACCCTGCTGCCTTGCTGGTTGAATGACACTGACTCTCACAGAGTTTCTATCAAGCAAAGCTATCCCTTCCTTCAGGATGGGAGTTTTCAGGCTCAAGGACCCTAGGGCTAGGGACAGAAGTTACACACAAACCAGTTTAAGTGATCAGAAATGGGTTTAAACCTGTAACAGAACAGAAGTTCAGCACATAAACCAGTTTCAAAATGGCCGAAACTGGTTTAAGATGAATTGGGTTAAATGTAGTTTCAGACTTAACTGATTTGGGTCAAACCAGTTTATGGAACTTCTGTCCCAAACACCTTCCTGGTTCAAGTTAAATCACAGTCCCCCAGCATCCCAGCATGCTTTTCAGCCCTGGGCTGAGCCATGCTGTCTGCTCCAGAGAGCAGGGCTGGCCCTGCCCCTCTGCTCTCTAGCCGGAGCAGAGGTCGGGGCATGGCCCCATGAGGCAAAGGGAGCAGCTTATTCCCCCCTCCCTCCCCTCTCCCACTGGGGGACTGCAGCTGGGGTCTGCCTGGCCAGGGTGTAGCAGCCCCCATCAGGCCCCTCATCTGCAACCTGAAGCAAACAGAGAGAAGGAGGGGGATTTAATCTCCCCCTCTGTCTCCTGTCCCACCAGCAGCCCCAGTCCACCTGGCCAAGGTGGAGCAACACTTGTTAGCCATTGCCCCCCTCCCTACTCCAGTGGCAGGGAAGGGAGCATGGCCAGAGCCAGCTGGCATGGTCCTGCCCTCCGCCTCCCTCTCCAGCAGCTGGGGCTGAGCCAGGCCAGCCTGCAGGTGCTGTTGAGAGGAGGTGAAGGGGCCAGCCCTGGCTGGGCTGCTGGGGCTGGGCCCTTCCCAGTGGGCTGTGGCTCAGGCTGGAGCCACGGGGGCTGCATGGCTACATCGCTCCCCACACCCAGGCCAGGTGGGGCTGTCATGACCCACAGCCAGCTGGGAAGGGCCCTTCCCAGCAGCTGCAGCTCTGTGATAGCCCGGCCTGGCAGCCCCGCAGTCGCTGCTTCCCCTGCCCCTACCCCTGCTGTGCCACTCCAGGTGGGTGGGTGGCAAGCTTCAGCCTGGCAGCTTCTGCCCAACACATGGAGCTCCAGCTCCAGCTCCAGCTCCACCTGCCTTCCACCCAGTGCACCTGCCCGCAGGGTCTGCTCATCACACCAGGCAGGCAGAGCGGGTGGAAGGCAGCCAAAAGCTAGAGCTGCTGAAGGCGAGGGGAAGCTGGTCGGGGTTTAAACCCCTCCCCAATCATACTTAGTACTTAGCCCCTGCTGGAGACCTGGCCACACTCCCAGTCAGCTTCCCTCCAGCCTTTCCGCTGCTGCCAAAGGGAAGGGAGGGCTGCTCTAGTGCCCCCTGGCTTCTAGCCTGAGCCACTGCAAGCATGTGCCTGCATTTCCGGAGTCAAAAGTGAATGTCTATTCACTTGCAAATCAGTTCAATCTTTGCAGGTTAGACTAAAGATTGAATCAATTCAGGCTCCAGCTTTTTGAATGTTTGTCCCTAGCCTAGAGGGAAACAGTCACAGCTGGTGCACATCTGCATTTGTAATGCACTTCCAGCTTAGCCCTTCCCCAGGATGTATGATGTAGAATTAGCCTGGTAGTTCCTGCCAAGGCAGATATCTGTGGGGGTACAAAAGGAAACTTGGCGGGGGGGCTGCAGATCAGAGAGCACAAGGTAGCCAGAAAGGGAAGTTTGGGGAGTGGGAAAGCTTGAAATGGGCAAGAAGACAGGAGTGGGAGTGCTGAGTGAGGACCAGAGCCCGGGGCAGTGAGGAGGGGAATGGGAGGCTGTGAGGCAGCTGGGGTAGGGCTGGACAGTGGCATCCTAGGCAGGGAGGATGGATGAGCAGGGGCTTCTTGGGAACAGGAGGCAGACAGGGAGCCCAAAGCAGCCTCCTCCTGCTGCCCCTGAGATCCCAGTTCCCTCACATGGGCCTGGCAGGTGGCCCTGGCACTGAGGGAGCATTTCCCACCACTTTCCACCCACAGGGAGCTGAAAGTGTGAGAGGCAGGCAAGGGGAGCTGCATGCTTGTGCTGCCTCCTCTCAGAGACGGGCGCAGGGCTGGGCTGAGGCTGGCAGCAAGCCACACTAGTGGTCAGACCCTGTGTGGGGGACCAGTGGGCACCCAGTGGGGAGACACAGCTGAGAAGGAACAAATTGCTCAGGAGAGTCTGCTCTGCTCTTGCCTGAGGGGGGAAGCTGTGTCCCTCAGCCCACAGGACCCTCCACATCCCCTAAGGGCCACTTTGGAGGCTGGGGCTCTGGGGTGCAGGGTGATGGAGTGCCCCCTCAGCCAGGGCAGCAGAGCCTTTGCCCATGCCTTCCTGCCTCATGCTGCCCATGTGACTTGCCCGTACTGAGGCAGCAGGAGGTGGGGAACATTTGGACTCAGCCAGGCTCTGGACTTGGGGCATCCAAGCAGGATGTTCTCCTTCCTGCCCTCCCTCGTGGCCACACTGTGAAGCAGCAGCAGTCCAAACATCTGCAATAGGACCTGGCATCTCTGCCCAGAGGACAGCAGCCCTTGCCAGGGGGTGGCAGCCTGGCCAGGCAGCCAGCTGGAGCCACCTTTAGCCCCATGACAACCCCATGGTGGTCCAGAAAGGCTCTAAAAAGGTTGCTACAGCACCACCTGCTCAGGCTTTCCTGCTTCCTGATTAAGGTTTATCCCCTTCTCCTGCACTGAGCTCATACCAGGTTGGTTTTGTCAGCTAGAAGAGAAAGGTAGTTCGCTGTGTTAGTCTGAAGTCAGACCACTCCTTTCTATTTAGCAGCTCTGCTTCCTACAGTCCCTTCACAGTATTCAATGAAGTAAGCCCTCTGTTTACGAATGTGTATGCTATCCAGTTCAGACTGCGTTAGTCTATAAAGGTGTAGATCTACCCTGCCTTTGATAATTAGAGCCATCCTTCTTCAGCTGGCCCTTGATGTGGCCCAGGTGCAAACCATGTAACCAAGATGGTCCAACCACTGGCAAAGCCAAGTGGATCCTTTCAGTATTCCTCAGGACCTGTGCTGGGGCGGGGTGAGCTGAAGGCAGGGGATCATCACACTCCCTTTCCCATTTCTTACTCTTCTCTCCCTGTCTGTCTCTTCCAGACCATGCACAGGATTACCAGTGGATCGGTCTCAGTGACAGAGCTGTTGAACATGATTTCCGTTGGTCTGATGGGAACTCCCTAGTAAGTCATGGCTGGAGGGGCAAGGGTGATAGCTGGGATGGTGAGGGATATTTCTTTATGTATATGAAAGTCAATTCAGGAGAGAATCACATCCACACACTCAGACTTGGGCTTTTCTGCTTTATAAAGGGACAGAGACCTTTGAATCATACTGGGGCTCTGTCTGCCATTTTGGAACCATCTTTTTCTTCTGTGTTTGTACAGCATCTAGCACAGAGGAATCCAGGCTGTGTCTGAGACACTACCACAATACAAATAATAATAATATTGCAACATTTCTACTGATGAAAAGGATGGATGGGAAGGAGAGCAGTAGGCAAACTGAAAAGCAGATGCAGAGGGGGAAGCAAAGGACAAAAAGGAGAAGCAAGAGAACAAAAATGAAGTGAAAAAGGAGGGAAAAGAGCTAAAGGGGAAAGGAGAGCTGAAGGGGAACAAGGAATGTGTTTCCCGGTCTTAGAGGATGGTTTCTTATCTCTCCACAGCAATATGAGAATTGGCGGCCCAACCAGCCTGATAACTTCTTTGCCACAGGAGAGGACTGTGTTGTGATGATTTGGCATGAGCAGGGAGAGTGGAATGATGTCCCATGCAACTATCACCTCCCTTTCACGTGCAAGAAGGGAACAGGTGAGATGAAACCTGCCCGGATTTATTGCCCGAGTATTTCTAGACCCAAGCTACAGCAATAAAACCTGTAACATAAAAGCAGTCCAAATTTGCCCTGCCAAGCCTCCCATTGCCAACTGACCAAGATCCCAAAGACAACACTTGAAGTAACTGCCATCTGTTCCATTTTATCTACATTATCTTTCATATGAAGGTATGGCCAGAGCTAATTCACTGTGGCATGCTGTGTAGCTTCTGCTTAGGTCAAAATGGAGCACGGTGTCCTGATCTGTATCCTCCAGACTATGCCAAAACAGCTGTAGCACACATGGTTGAACTCAGTGGCTCATGTGTTATCCATGCCCAAACTCTAACCAGAAATAAGCGCTAGTCATAGACCTGGGAATTGTCACTTATTCCATCAGTGGAATGGAGTAGATGCTTAAGCTCTGCACAGGAGCACTGCAAAAGGGCAGGTAGTGGAGACAAAATCTGTGTGGGTCTGAAATTGCAAAGGGGTTTCAGGGAAGCACAAGTAGAATTTGACCATGATGTACAAGCATACACCAGTTCTTGAGGAAAAAGTACCCTTGGATGTAACTCTCCAGGGTGAGCTCTCCTGGACTGACTCTCCAGGGTGAGTTTCCCCAGCTGAGGCACCCCATCCTCCCTACAGCACACCAGCCACAGAACTGCCTGCTCTGCACTGAGCTATTGGAGTCAGCACTAACACCACCCAGTTCTGAGTCACTGACACCCAGCCCTGCTGCTCCTGAGTTCTCCTTGGGGATTTCTTATGCAAGTACTGATCAAATCAAGCCTGAAACAAAGTCGCCATCTGGGGATGATGCAGATGTAGAGAGAGTAGACTGCCAGGATGCTTAGGCACAGTGGATAGTGCTCTTTCATAGCTCCCTTTCTTTATGTGAAATAACAGTCTTCCACCCCTTCCTACTTCAAGGTCTAAGGTGGTGCACCTTTTCTGTCTCCCCTGACAGCAACCCCCATGTCCCTACCTTCTCCAACCCCTTTTAGAATCAGTTTTGTCCCCTTTTCCAAGCCAAACAGTAACCCACATGCAAAGCCTAGTTTCAGCAAGCCTGATCCAAGCCATCTGTTTCCACCCACTAGGACCCCCAGTGGTAAAGAAACAACAAAAGCCTTCCTGACAGCCACTCTCTTGTGTCTGGCTCTCACTGCGAACATGCCTTTCCGGAGAGGAAGGATGGAACCCTTTGGAATACTGTTGCTAAGTTTCCCGGCTGGCCACAGCATTTCAATCTCCCCCGTGACTAAATTTCAGAGACAGTGGTGACCACAGCAGAATCACAAAAGGGGGTTAGTTTTTAATTAGCTGCCTTTTATTTATTGCCTCCATCTATTTCCCCCTATTACACAAAGGAAATGTTTCCTCCTTTGTTAGTTGTTTCCGGGGCCCCCTGGCCTTTCTGATGGACGTGGCGAAAAAGCAAATCAGGTCTGGGTGATGGTAGGCACTTAGCAACCCTGGCGTCAAGTGCTGGCATGTAATAGATGCCAGCGTTCCAGTATGGAAACCCCTTTCCTGTCCAGATTAAAGGTATCCACAGGGAGATGGCCATGCCCATACTGCAGGTGGGTGTGTTCAGCAGCCCGGCAGTGTAGAGCTCTCTGCTCCAACAGGCTGATGATTCATCTCTGTTTCAGAGGAGATGGGAATTCAAGGCCTCAAACACACATGACTTTTAATGACCCCTGGTACTTTTCCCATGAGCTACAGAGCAGGGCTGCTGCAAGCAGATCTGGGTCCTTCCTCCAAGTCACTCAAAAAGGGCCCTGTGGCTGCAAGGTCAGAAATTGCTTCCCCTCCTGCTTGCATCAGTTTTCCATTGCATGGCAGCCTGGGAGGCAGGAAGGGCAAACAAGCTGGATAATGTGTATGAGAGTTGATACAGTCAGGTGAAGCATGCCTAAAGTTTTCCTAGTAATAAGGGAGTATCTTAGCCAAGCGTACAATCCAAGGGAATCACCCTGACTCTCCAAGTGGTCTGGAGTTACCATGACCACACAGCTTCCAGCCAGCATAAAGCATCTCATACTTATACCATGTAACACTGGAGGAGGAATATTACACTAGCCATTCGACCCATTCCTTGGGGGTGATTGAGGGAGCCCCACCAGTTGCATTTCCATGATGCCCAGTGGGCTCTGTTTATGCAATTGGCCCTTTCAGCCTCAGAAGTGGCTGCATCTCAATGGCAGGGAAAACAGTTCTCATATATACAACTTTGTGACAAACAGTACAAGGGAACATTGTTCAATGACTTTGATTCTAGGGACTGAATGTTAATATAACCAGCTCCCCTGAAGCAGCAGGATTAGCCTAGAGATCTTCATGGTGTGTGCAGCTCTTATTGCCCAGTGCCTATTGTGGACCACAGTATCCAAGGAGATGCAAACTGCTCAGTGTCTTTGCTTGTCTCTACCAGTTGCCTGTGGAGACCCTCCTGTGGTAGAGAATGCCAGGACTTTTGGAAGAAAGAAGGACCGATATGAAATCAACTCCATGGTGCGATACCAGTGTAACCAGGGCTTCATACAACGCCATGTGCCCACAATTCGATGCCAGCCCAATGGCCACTGGGAGGAACCACGGATAGCCTGCATAAATCGTACGTAGCGCTCTCTCCTTTCAGTTGGCACCAAGGCCTTTGCAAACCTTTTTGAGACTCCAGTGGCAGCTGTTAGCCCTGGGAGAGCACCAGAAGTACATGGCCTATTACTGAGATTCACATACAGGGAGGGTCTGAGTTCAAAAGAAGTTTGTCTTCCCAACGGGACCAGGAGAGCTGAAGCAGCAACTCCAAAGCTTCATGAGAGTGATGCCCAGCCCTCCTGGCTGTTTCAGATGTAGGGCTGATGATTTCCAGAGGGATCTCCATCTTTATTTTGACTGAAGGGACATTAATGAACTAGAGTGAGGAGTTCAAGACAATTGAGAGAGACATTAATAGCTGTTAGACAAGGGTGAGAACACCCCCTTCTCACACTCACACTCACATATCCAGGCAGGTGCAGGTTTGTTGCATCAGAGAGGACTCTTCCCTTGTTTTCCCTGTGTTTTGTCTCCATTAAAGGAATATAGGATCTGATATCTCCCAGGTGGGCCTGGACCACAGGGACCAGATGGAGACACAGCCTTGGCTCTTCTGAGTTAGTGCACACGCCAGTCACCTGCAAGCTCCCTGTTGAGCTGGCTCCTCCATGGAGAACGTCCTGATTCTGATGGGCAATGAGGGGGGAGCCCAAGGTGGAGGCGGGGGAAGAGAAAGCAGTTAAAAGAAATCTACATGGGCCCTAAAAGCAGGAGAATTTTTCTCTTTTAGACAGTGTCTTAAATGGTTTGCTTTGGCAATATCTGTGCATGGGCAGAGGCACTCAGGAAAAGTAGCAGAATGGGCGTTATGCCCTTGCTCAGGCCACCCTGAGCACTCAGAGACTCGCTTCAGGCCTGAGTCACCCTCCCTGGCTCTCTTTGGGAAGCAGAGGCAGGAAACATGAAATAGCAAGGTGACCTGGAGTCTTGTCACCCCTCCCCCTGGCTTGCCTTTTCCACCAGGCATCTGAACAGCAACTAACACTCCTACAGAAACATCCCCAAGCCATGTTGTTCAATTCTGGGCCTCAATTGTTCAACTGTTGTTCTCTCATTGGGTCATATAGATCTTCCTCACTCATTAGTTATATGAAGCCTGATGGAGCCAAGTCATCTACATCAAAAGTAGTTCAGCTGCTTTGCTCAGTTTTGATCTGGTTGGGTTTCACCAGTTGTCACTGGATAGTTCAATCCAAGGCTAGAGAAAGTTGCTGCCGAATTAGGAAGAAGGGGACAATATTCTCAATGAGAGAGAAAGGCCAAGAGTGGTGCATAGGATGATGAAGTGCTCCTGCTATTAAACTGCACTGTTCAGCTCTGGACTCTCTAGATTCAGTTGTGTGCTGTATAGGCTGCAGTCTGGCCCAGGGACTGAAGAACGACACCAGGGACTTGTTTGCACATAGGAGCAGTTGCACAGAAAGGGAAAGATCTCTGTCTTTGACTGGCTACTCATTCCCCACCTAATAGCAGTCAGTTGGGTCCCATTGGAAGCAGAGAGGCTGTTTCACCTGGAAGGCTCTATGCTCAGGTGGAAAAGCAGCGGTATGTGTTCCTGACCCTGTTATAAATGATGCCAGGATATGAGGCAGGCACTTCAGCGAATTTGAGGGAACGCTTTTACCCCAAGTAATAAGAATGTTTTGCTATCTAGCTTCTCCCATCTGGGTATCTCAGATCACTTTGCCAACATTCATTAAGCCTTTGCTCCTCTGATACAGGAGGTAAATCAGAATTGTCCCCATTTTACAGATGGAAAGACTGAGGCACAGACAGGGGAAAGGACAGAACCCAGAGCTTCTACTACTCAGTTCTGGACTATGCTTTAAGCAAAATGTCTAGATTTATTCAGGGCTTCTGGGATGTCTGCTTCCTATGACTCATCAGACCTGGATAGTACCAGAGATGCTCTCCCAGCAGCGCTGGCCCATTGGTCTGAGCTGCTTTGGCAGGTCTTCTGCCTGTCTATTTGCAAGGAGGGGAAAAACACAGGAAGTGTCCAATGGACAAAAGCAGAGTTGTCTCCGCATAGGATGCTTTTTAACAGGCTCCCAAGAGGCACCTGGGTCTCTTTGACTTTGGTGTTTGTGGGGGGACGAGCCGTTACAACGTGAACTGAAAAATCCCAGATGATTCATTGGGTCCTGGAGTGCCGGAGGCAAGAGAAGGACCGATTGTCTGGTGGCAGGCAGGCTGGCGCCATGGCATGCTCTGCCATGCGCTGCAACCTCGGCAGTGTTTTTCCAGGGAATGAGAGGCCTAGGGCGAGCCAGCTCAGGACAAGTGGGGTCTCTGTAGCCTTCTCCTAGTAACAAGGTGTCTTTTCTTCTCCTCCCCCTTCCTCAGCCTCCACCTACCAACGTAGACTATACAAGAGAAGCTCTAGGAATCGGTCAAGAACCAATGGCAGAGCCGTACAAAGACCCACCCATTAGAGAGGGGAGAGACACGCAGAGAAGACACAGAGAGAGATTTTACGGAACAGTTATATTAACAGAGTCAATTTCTTCTTCTTCTTGTTGCTTTTGTCATATAAGGGAAAAAATTATATTAAAGAAAAACCCACCTTTTGTGTATATATAAAAAAAAATTCAAAGCACCAAAGCAAAGCAAATTAGATTACAGCATTTTTACTAACCATCCGGTTCCAAGTATCTTTGTGCCTTTGGGGATGGGGAGGGAGCAGGGGCTGTGGAGGGCAGGGGGTTAAGTTAAATAATAAAGAAGATTATTTTTTCCTGATTTTATCCATGAACAATGTAATTATTTCTGTTATTTAATCTCTGGGCCGGACAACACCTTTTTTATTTTAAAAAATTCTTTCACCGCTGCGGTACAGTGGGCCAGGTGGGCACGGGGCTAGCAAATAGTTGTGAAGTGCAGCTGAATGTATGAGAGGGGGGGTGTGGGGGGGAGAAGACAGCATGAAGGAGGGGGTGAAGAGGAGGGGAGGTAAAAAAGCCAGGCCCGGATGCTTCTTGGTTTTCACTCCTTCCCTCCCACTGCTGGTTCCCCAGTGCCAAGTCTCCCTGCCCCCAGTCCGCGTGGCAAAGCAGCTCCCATCCCATGATGGCGTGCTCTCTTCAGGGGACCGTGCAGGACACCAGGGTTCCCTGCACCTATTTATATTTTTGAAACAGGATGATAATAATGATAATAATAAAGAGAGAAAAACATTGGAATAATCATTTTTGGGGGCTGGGGGGGTAATTTAATTGAACTTGCTGAAATCTCCGGGATGCTGGTAGGAGCCTGTGTGCGCGTGTGTAGAGCTGAGTTTTTCACCCATGGAGTGGGGGGGTGGGAAAGGAAGGAGACAGTCTTGGGGGAGGGGTGCTGGGGGCTTTGGGGTTTTATCTTCTTGTAAAAGAGCAAAAACAAAAAACAAATGTTTTAATGTCTTGTGCATTAAACGAGAGACTGGAAAATAGCTGTGCCTGCTGCTGTCAGCATTATTGTGAAACCTGTAAAATAAAACCTGTTATATTTTATTCTTCCTGAGGTGCTAGTTACATGATGAACTGAAAGTGGGAAGCAGCATGGTTGTGCCACAGCCCGTGTGCACATGTGTGTGTGCATCCATGCCTGCCTGCATACATGTGTGCTCCTGAACACGTGTCTATGTGCAGATGACCCCCATCCCCAGTTGGGGTGGGTTAAAAAATCTCCCTGTGTGCCAACCCACATACAGCATGAGTCTACTACAGTCATCAGCTACAGAGCTTGGCTCCAACACAGAGGTCCCTCAGCTCCATTGGCACCACCTAGGATGGTGAACATTTTGGGAGGGTGGTAATGTATATTCACTATAAAGAGCGGATGTACGACACATGCAGGCATTTGGATGGGGGCATTCCTTCCTCAGGTGTGTGAGAGTGAATGGGAACAACAGGGAGGCATGGCGGCAAAGCTGAGAGCAAAAAAGCAGAGCAGCAGATCAGGTGGAAGAGGAATTGGAGTGACACCTGAGGAGGGTGCAGGGCTAATTTGTGGCAAGCCTGCCTAAAAAGGTTGCCTCGTACTGCCTTCAAGCCCTGAGCAAAATGCAGCCTTCTTTGTAGGACTGAACTCAGGTGAGCACAGATAGCAGCAGGCAGGAGCAGATCACATATAGACTGCCCCCTACAATGTTGGGGATGCTCAAAAATGAGAGTAGCTCTCTCTTGAGGGCCCAAAGCAGACATCTGAGTGCCCACTGTCATCCTTCAGACCACCCACTGCCATCCCAGGTAAGAAGCAGGGATGGAGCCTACATCCTTAGACTACAGATGAGTTAAAGAAGTATCTCCCTCCCTTCGTGACTTAGCCCTCACAGCTCTTTTCATCTTCCCCCTCCCCAGCATTACACAGCATCTCCTTCCTCCAGGAGGCTTGGGTGTAGTAGCAACCCTGCCTTATGCACTCCCTCACAACACTTCCCATTTACAATGGCCCCTGTTATTCACACTCCCTCAAGTAACCACCTACCTGACTCCAGGGGAGCAGCAATCATTGCTCACATAGCATATTAACATCAGCTGCACTGGATACATTTTTAATACAATTTAGGGGCTGGGAATAAGGACAAGGGAGCGGTATTGCATGCCCAGTCATCTCTCTACCCTATCAACACATGCCCCATGCAGCAGGCTCTGCTTTTTGTCTCACCACTGACTATAGTACCTGAGACCTTCCCAGCTGTATGCAGTTCCTGTCATTAAGACTTTCGCCCACACCCACTTGAAGAGGACTCCACAGGTCCTAGGCAGCAATAGCACTCCACATTTCCTAAGTGGCTTATACTAAGGGCAAGGGATTAATTAAGCCTAATTAGAGAAACAACCAACGAGCCTGCAAATACGGAGGGACAAGCTCAGCCCTGTGATGCTGTCATAACCTGTTTCAGGGGTATGAAGAGTTTGGGGAGCTTGCAGTTGGAATCAGCTGTTTGACGTGGTGCATAAGAGACAAAGACAACAAAGAGGTTTTGTGGGGTACATAAAGGCACTGAGATAAATAGTGTTTTAAGACCCTCGAAAAAGTCCCTTTTAAGGTTTCAGAGGTTGGGCGAGGCACCAAAACTGAACTAGTTGTTTCTGTTTCAAAAAACACTTGTGGTATTCAAAAAACATGCAGGGAGATGAGGGGCATGGGTGTCCTTCCTACAGTTATGGGGTGTGGACATGTGGTGTAGTAAGGAGCTGAGCCTTCCAGCTGCCTCCACCTCAGCCTATGGAAAGGGTCATCTGTCCTGGGCTTTAAAACCCCGCTTCTCCTCCACCTCCGTTCTCCTCTCCAGTACCCTCCGTTAACCCACCTCCTAGCTTTAAGCCAAGAACCCTCAGACAATTCCCCTTTAAACTCCTTTCCCTGGTGTTGCAGCTATGCTGGTGAACACTGTAGGACCAGCCCTATGGCTGGGAACAGAGATGAAGCTGCACATCTCTAGGGCTTTCTTCAATGCTTTATTAGAAGAGGGCCAAGAAAATACATCGTTTCATAACAAAACATTCACAAACAAGAATTCAAGTGGAGTCTGGGAGAGGGGGCACATGGAGAACCAGGCACGGCCACCAGAGACCTGCATCCAGCATGCACACAATCCTTTTTGAAATGTCTCCCCTCATAATGTGGCCTGAAAAAGTCTAAGCGTGTCCAGATCCTAAGAGGAGGGTAAGGGAGGAAAAGAAGGGGCTGGAGGAGGAAAGAAAAAGGAGGGAATCTCTAGTCTCTAAGCACAGAGACCCAGAGCTATACCTAACATCTCTGATTCGCGGGAAGGGGCCTCCACACCTGAGGAGGTGGGCCAGGACTTTGGTGAGATGCAAGTCAACACGTGTCTTGTTGAATGATCACTTGCTCACCCTGAGGAGGGGGGCGGGTGGGGTGGACAGGGGAGATCTTGGTTTGCGCTCCATCTGCAGTCGACCTGATGTCTTCCAGGGTGGAGGGTGGCTGGGATGGGACAGCAGAGCAGTCTGTGCACTAAAGATATCTGGTCCCTCTTGGTGCCTGTGAAACTGAAGCTGGAGGAGGGTATTTTCGTTGGGTGTTGGCCTCTACAAGTGGAGAATCGATCTGATCCTGTGTGTGAGCCTGTCACTTGGCACCCAGCAGCACCCCCTTGACCCATTCCAAGGGACTGAACCAGCAGGTTCAGACACCAATCCCCCCCTCCGCCCCCCCATGAGAGATACCATCTCAGGCTGCCTCACCTAGCAGGTGTGATGAAGGGTGGGGGCACCATTCCCCGCCAAGGGAGAAGTGCAGAGGTGGCGCTAGGTCAGCGAGAGGCCACGGCTCAGGGAGCTGCTGAACTCTGATAGTGTAAAAATGAAAAGGGAAACTTGGAAAGCCCCCACCACCACCCAGGGAGCTGAGCCCCTTTAAATAATGCAATCCAGGCAGCACCAGGCAGGGAAGTGTCCGCTGGCAAAAAGGGAGCCCCTCCCCTTTCCTTAACTCAGCTTGTAGCAGAAGACCCCAAACTTCCCCTTCTTGGGGAAGCCGAGGCTTCGGATGCCCGGCTCTAGAGGGCCACAGTTGGGCCGGGGGAAGGCAATGGGGTAGCGGATGCTGCCATCTGCCAGCCAGCCACTTTCGCAGCGATCCAGGTTAAAGAGCTTCCACGCGACATAGAGCTGACCCACTTTGGCGATTTCGGCGCCGTCGTCCTGGCAGGCCTGCTTGGCCTCTTCCAAGGTTAGCTTGGCTGGATGAGTCAGGTAGTAAACCTTCCCTGTGGGGAAGGGGAGGCAGGATCACTGGGAGGTAGAACAATACCTAGCATGGTCCCCCTCTGCACACAAATCCCATGGTCCTGCAGCAGATACTTGGCAGTTGGGAGCTTGTCCCATCTCTGCCTGCCTATGACAGAGATCTAAGGAATCGTAGGAAAGTAGGACTGGAAGGGATCTCCAGAGGTCAACCAGCCCCACTCTCCCTGCAGCTGAGCTCTGATTGCCATGGGCTTAGAAGTCCTATATCCTAACAAAGGGGATTTTAGGCCACCAGCCTGGCAATACTGGCTTTGTCAGGAAACTCTGCAAGCATAAAGGATTCTCTTGTGGCCACTTCCCCAGTCTATGGCCATTTTCTGCCAGCAAAATGAAGAACTGGGTCCCATTTCATCACTCTCTAAGACTCAGTTGGTTCCCCTGATGCCCACCCAGTCTGGTGCTGTGTTACCCAATGGGCCGTTTCAATCTCACTGTTTGCTCTCGCCTTTCATTTCACAGCCACCTGAAAACTAAATGTAGCAAGTGTTTGCCTGAGCCCCAAAAGGCAGCTGCTATAGCATGGATGGAGCAGAGCTGGGGTTTACCAGCACAAAACATCACTGTATAATGCTCAGTGTGGGATAGGAAGGAGCATCCTACTTCCAGCTTGAATCGCAGCAGAAAAGCCCATACCACTAGGGTCATCTACTGCAGCCCTGGACTAAAATGGCCTTGAGCATTTAGGAAGGTGACTGGAATTGCCTGAGGTCCAAACCTGGCAGGGTCAGCATCCCAGCCCTTGGGTCCATGATAACCAAAGCTCTAGGTCTGCCATTTCAGCTGGCTGAGAACAGCCAAGGTTTGGATAGAGCAGTGTCCCTGGGAAAAGAGCACTGCCTACTGAGTCACCCATCCCACTCCCTGCAACACTGGGCTTTCCAGGGTGGCCTCTGCTCTGACTGAGCAGGCCCAGCCCCGCAAGTGAAGTATCTTCCAGACTCACCTTTGGGTGCAGAGGAGAAGCAGAAAACATCAAAGTGGTGCAGGTTCTTGTGGCGCACGCCATAGCTCCGAAGGCCAGGAGCCAAGGTCCGGCCGCCGCAGGGCTCCCGGGGCAGGGTGATGGGGTACTGCACAGTCCCATCTTGCAGCCAGCCAGCATTGCACCAGTCCAGCCCCTCCTCCCAGGACTTGAAGAGCTGCTCAAAGGATGCAATAACAGCATCCTGCTCCTCACAAACCTTCTTGGCTTCATGGAAGTTGAGTTTGTAGCGCCCGTGGGGAGGCTGGTATGGAAAAACTATCCCTGGGGAGGAGGAGAGAAAGAAAGATGAGGTGTCTAGGCTAGTCGAGTCACTGTGGGATTTCCAAGACCCCCTGGCCACCTCACTGACCTAACCTGCACTCTCTGGGGTACATGGGAAAGTTCCCTCAATAGCACCACTAATGGGGCACTGGGGGTTACCTGCAGCAGTGTTCCCACCCCCTGCCTGGCTCACGCTCCCAACCTCACCAGGGTGAACCTAGGGTAACCCTGGGTGCTGCCAGATGCCCAGCTGGAGTCTCTTGGTCTTCCCCCCTGGGACTGGAAGGGAAATAAAGGTCTTCCAAATGCAGGCGCAGGGGTCCAGCTGAACTCAGGACAAATCCTGTAATACTGCAAGCAAATAGCCAGCCCAAAGGGGGAATGAACTGGGCAGGTATTATCCATCAAGGATAATGGTGAGCTGCTGGTGACATCTGGTGGCCAGACCGAGGCATGAGCACATGCTCTTGTAGGGCACGGGCATTCGGTGCCCTTCCAAAAGCTGGTGCTCAAAGGCTGCTTGGCTCTGGAAGGTGGAGGGCGGCTAGTGCCAAGCTCTTGTGCTATCGATAAGGGGTGGGTCACCCTGGAGCCAGGCAGGTGTGCAGCTGGGACGAGGGACTGCAAAAGAGTGAATGTTGCAATCAGTTCTGTCTGCAGAGGAGCAAGTCTGAGGCCTGGATGGGGACTAGGGTGGGTCTGAAAGCGAACTTCTGCAGGGAGAGGGAATTTCCATATGAGCCACAGTGTTGTGGGGCTGTTTTATACTGCTCCTAGTCCCTTCTTCAGCATCAACCCCTTGCACACTGCACGCTGGGCTCCCCAAATGCACACCCAGAAGCTAGGCAGGACACAGTCATGCCACCTCTCGTGGCCTCTCCTTGCAAGGGCAGGAGGAGCCACCTTCAAAAGCAGCTTGCAGTCATGTGCCAGTCTGTCCCAGCACAGCCATGGCAATCCAACCTGGGAGGCTTGGACTGGGCAGCAGAAGTTCATATTTGACAAACTGACATAGTCTGGAAAGCCAGCAGACCCAGCATTGCTATGTGGCTCAGTCACCACTGGAGGGGGGTAGCATACCATTCAGCGTTGGTGTGGGGGACCAGTGTCTGTCACCATACAGCTGCATTGTCCTAAACCGAGGAGGCGCTACAATAGCATGACACGATGCTGCGTGTACCTGTGTTACAAGACTGGCCCTGCTGGGTGAGGTGCTGCACAGATAAGCAGTCACCCCCACTTCCCATTCTCCCAGCCCCAGATCCCTGTTGAGGTCTAACCAGCAATAACTCCAAGGCATGCTACAGAGAGGTGACAGCAACTTGCACTTGCTCTGCAGGGAGGTTGCACTGGGGAGCTGATGCCACGATGCAAGGTCCTGGGGGCATTTTTGGAGGAAGGAGCTCCTTCCTTTACCCTGATTTCCATAGCGTGAGGCCAACCAGGAAGGGGAGCTCCTTCCTGAACTGCCAAGGTGTTGGCTTGAGCATGGGGGAGCTGTAGAGGGTCCTGGTACAGTTGCCGGTCCCACCAGAGGCTTTGAAATGGGCACCTTCTTGGGTGCCTGTTCATGTCCCCAGTGACCAACACTCAGGCGGGTGCACCCCCAGGCCTGTTGTCCCCTCCCTCAGCCCCTGCCTCCTGCAGCTGCAGCCTGCTCACCTCGCAGCTCCAGCTCCACGATGCTGCTCTCATCCTCAAGCCCATCGATGACCTCGCAGCGGTACTTGCCATAGTCCTGCAGGCGCAGGTCAACAACGACCAGGGACACTTCCTGCTTGCCTTCCTGCTGTAGGTAAGCACGACCCTTGAAATCACCGAAGCTGCGGTGCTTCATGCCGGCAGCCACCAGCACATCGTAGTCCTTGGTGTTGTCATCCCGCAGCTTGGACCACTTGACACGGATCTTGCGTGGCGTCTCCAGCTTGGACTCATAGCGGTAGTGGCAGGGCAGAGTGACATTGGCACCACGCGAGGTGAAGATGGGGGTGTCCGGGGTTTCCACCACCAGCTTCGCACCGTTGAACTGAACTGATGGGTGGGAGGGGAGATGGGTAAGCAAGGGTGCAGACAGGTGTCAGAGGCCAGGTATATTGGCCCCCTGGCTCAGGGCATCTGTATGGACTCTGGGGAAGAGGGGCTGGATGCACAGATACTGTATAGAAGGGAAGACGAGCACAGTCCAGCATCAAGAGGGAAAGGGAAAAGAGCTAGGCCTGGGGACAGAGGCCCCAGGATCAGGGAGGAGCGGATGGAGGGACTGGCTCTGAGCCAGGTGGCTCTTGTGAACAGCACAGCACCAATCTGGACTGAACATATCTTCCCCTGCCCCCTCCTGCCAAACTCTCCCACTGCTCATCTCTCTCTCCCCTTCATTCACTTCCTCCTGCTCCTGCTCACTTTCCCTGTGAGACACTGGAGGGAACAAAGGCAAGGGGCACTAGTGGATTTAGAAGGGGATCAGGGATACCCACAGGCTAGGATAGGGCAGGGTCCGTGTAGTAAGATGGTCTGTGCACAGTGTCTACCAGCAGGGGGCACAGCTAAGCCAGTTTGCAGACTGCAGTGGGCCCATAGACACCCTGGGAGGGGAAGAGTTTGGACTGGAACAAGCAGCAGAATGAGTCTGGGAAGGGGAGAACGTGAAGGCAGTTTGGGCTGACGTTAGGAAGTCCTTCCTGACATGCACCCCTATTAGGCTATAGCGGGCAGGAGAGCATAGTTTCATAGTTTCACAGACAGTAGGGTTGGAAGGGACCTAAGCAGATCATCAAGTCTGACCCCCTGCCATGGGCAGGAAAGGATGCTGGTGATTGTCTAGCCTCCTTTTGACCCCCCCAGGGTAGGGGCAAGCACCACCTCCCTTGGAAGTTGGTTCCAGCTCCTAGCCGCCCTGACCGTGAAGTAGTGCCTCCTGATGTCCAACCTGAATCTACTCTCAGTCAGCTTATGGCCGTTATTCCTTGTAACTCCAGGTAGTGCTTGGGGGAGCGGGGACTCTCCCATTGTCTGCTGGTCCCCCTTGGCAAGTTTATAGATGGCCACCAGGTCCCCTCTTAGCCTTCTTTTGTAGAGGCTGAACAGGTTCAGGTCCCTCAGCTTCTCCTTGTAGGGCCTGCCCTGCTGCTCCCTGATCATGCAGGTGGCCCTCCTCTGGACCCTCTCCATGCTGCCACATCCCTCCTGAAGTGCAGTGCCCAGAACTGGACGCAGTACTCCAACTAGGGCCTGACCAGTGCTGCGTAGAGGGGGAGGATCACCTCCTTGGCCCTGCTCATGATGCATTTATGGATGCATGACAAGGTGCGGTTAGCCTTCCTGACCGTGTCCCCACATTGGTGGCCCATGTTCATCTTGGAATCAATAATGACTCCAAGATCCTTTTCTGCCTCTGTGCTGACTAGAAGGGAGTTCCCCAGCCTGTAGGTATGTCTTAGCAATTGGGCTATCAAGAGGGTGAGGCAAAACCCTGGGGAATAAGTGGAAGGATTGGGTGGGACAGTCTGAGCAGGAAGGGAGTGAGTTGCAGGTAACCTCGCTGCGTTTCACCCAGAGGAGGGGGCCTCATGGGATGGAAAAAGTCAGTGGGTGGATGTGCAGAGCAAGAGATGCAGCCTGCCTGGTGTTTGCCTCCTTTCCTATGAACTACTCACCCACAAGCAGCTTGCAAAAACCCTTCACTCGCATCCTCAGCACTCAGTACTCTCAGCTGCCACCTCATTAGCCCCCCAAGCCTCCTCACCCAACTCCTGTTGGCAGCATGCAGTTCTTTCAAGCCCACACTGGAACTGGGAAAGGGCAAAGGGGGAAGAGGCCAGACTGTCTTCACCACCACTGCCAACATTTCCCATCCACGAGTCCAAGACGTATCCTCTGTGGGCCCTCTGATCCTAATGGCTGGCAGCAGAGTGTGGTACAGCCCTGCCCCTCCCCCAGGATGAACACCTTCTCCATTACCATTGCCATTTCCATTGCCATTGCCATTGGCCTTGTCATTCATGACGTGGTCGTAGTAGAAGCCGTTGTAGAAGGGGAGCGTGCAGGAGCCTCTGCCAAGCTGCAGCAGCATCACAACCAGGGACAGCAGGAGCATTGCTCACAAGAGGGCAGATTCCAGACCAAGGTGAGGAGCCTGTCGAAAAGAACAAATCAGCTGCGTTAAGGCAGAAGGGCTCTCTCCATTGAAAAGCTGTCCCTGCCAGCTCATTCCAGGCCCCATGGTGAAGTCTGGCTGTTCCCTTGCTCTGCCTAGGCTGCCTGACACCACAGTTACTAGGGGGAGGCCAGGGGAAAAGTAACATCCTGTACCTCGGCCCCTATCCAGGCACTTCTTAGTAGGCTGGGTGAACAGCTACATCATCCTGGGACTTGCATCATGTGAGGTCCCTCCCAGCCTGAGACAGGATCGTGCCCTCTTCTGCCCCCCTCTCAACCCAGAAACAACAGGATTGCCAAGGAAAGCAACTGCAGTGGCATCACCATTCAGCTCAGCCAGGAAAGCTTCTGCAGGGGGGCTATGAAATGACATGTGATGTTGAGCAATTCTATGGGCCCGGGGTAGTGGCCCCACAGCACACATGTGGCCTGGCACCAGCAGGTTACTTTCCAGTGCAGTTCTGGCGTATTTATGTCCACACACAGTAGAATGTACATGTGTGAAGTGAAAGCCATGTGTGTTCAATTTGCCTTCCCAGATGAGGTCTGGGCAGGTGAACTGTCTGCACTCACACGTGACACTGCACCAGCATCATGTGCACAAAAGGAAGCCACCATTTGAAAATGTCTCTGCATTAACACCTACCCTGCTGGAAGAGGTTAGGTCTTGTATAGTTGGGACATCTCACTGCCACAGCTCCTAATGTCATGCTGCATAGCACCATAGATTGGGGGAAGGAGGAGCACACAGAGGTCTTTGCGTGCAGGAGGAATGGGAAAATGAGGGCAACCTGGTATGAAGGGAACAGAGTCCCTAGCAGGGGGAGCAAGGGACAGGGACGAGTTCTGGAAGGCGCTACCTCTGACCAGGGCTCCTATCCCTTCCTTAATCATCCTTCTGCAGTATACCACTGCTAGTCCGCTAGATATCAGCTTGCATTGTAACGTCTCCAAAAGTACAAGAAACTAATTAAACCTGTGAGCCAGGCTAGCTGTCGCCTTCACCTGGGACCTTCCTAGCACTCTACTCCCTGTCGACAGAAGAACCACAGAAGCAGTACTACCAGCCACTGTGCTTCTCCTGCATCAATGCCTGCACTCCCTTGCTCACAATGGCTAAGCTTTCCAAGAAGAGCACCTGAGAGCAGGGTGAGAAAACCAGCATTTCAGGGAATCCAGGTTCATTTCAGGGAGCTTCTCCCATTATCATACATGCATATGGGACAGCATTTCTCAGCCTGGAGCAATTGCAGTAATTATTGAATGCTGCAGAGCTTAAGAAATCTAGGCCCAGGCAAGCTGAACGTTAGCCATTTTGGTGATACATGGAAAACGAGAAGGGGTGAAGGAGTACCCAAGGAGCCTCTGGTCACCATTTCTGCAACTGCCTATAGCAGTGGTTGTCAACCTGTGGCCCGCAGACCCCTGAGGGTCCACAGACTATGTCTAAGGGGTCCACAAAAGATGACTGTGATCAATTAAAAGTATGTGAATACCCACATTTACAATTCAAAGGGGTCCACACCTCCCTTCGAAAATGTTTAGGGGTCCGCAAACGCAAAAAGGTTGAAAACCACTATAGATCAAAGAACTGGACAATGACTGCTATTAATGCACTCCAGTCTAATGACATCCCCGGCCACCCTGCCCACCCTCTCAGCACAATTTTAAATTGCTTACACCTGGAAGAAAAAGAAAGATGAACAAGAGCGGTGAGCAAAGTTACAAGGAACACAGAAACTGGCACAGGGCTGGGTGACCCTGACATGAGGAGTACGGGGCCACAGAGAGCTGCTGGCATAAGGTGGAGATAGGGTCATAGGATGGAGGAAGGAAGGGAACACAGATGCTTTTGTATTGTGAGGGAATGGGAAAATGTGGGCTTCTGATCCCACCAAAAACTGAATCTACTGAAGTCAGCTCCCAGTGCAGCTCCCTGAGGGATCTGGGTGGCTGCAAGCTCCACTACAGCCGGCAGAGGGGCCCAGCAACCACCAGGTCTCCAGACTGCCCCTCAATTACGGAAGGAATTTAACATCCGTGCCCCCCCTCTCCCCTTTTAGGCAGGGTTTACAAGCCCTTTGAAACTGCCAGGAGCTGGGGGGAAGTGAGAGACTGGGGGGAAGTGAGAGACTGGGGGGAAGTGAGAGCGGGGGGCCTGCAGAGACCAGCAACCTGCAGGCATGCAGCTCCCTTCGGAGTGATGCATGCCAGAGACACACAGGGATGGCTCCACACGCAGCAGCCTCCACAATGCCCTGAGGCCATGGCAGGAAAATTTCTAGTCCTATTAGAAGAGATGCAGCTCACAGGCACTTCTGCTCCAGGAGGCTCGTAGCTAACACTGGGGACTAGGAGGCTGGATTCCTACTGCCAACATCATATTGTGTTACCTCCACTTCCCCTTCGGCACAGCCTGGCAGGATAGTCCAGCTTGCCCCCAAAGAGGCAACCAGGCTTTATCACTGATGTTCGTACAAGGCTTTGGGATCCTCAAGACATGGTGCTGGTGCTGAGCAGGGCACTGGGGTCCTGCAGTCCTCCAAACTCCCACTGCAATTTCCACCCATGTGAAGCCAGCCCAGGCAGGGAGCCATCCAACCTGAGCTCCTTCCAACCAAGCGACATCCCAGCACAGCCTGGGGCTTCTCAGAGCCACGCCATGGCACATCCCTACCCACATGCCAACCTGAGCCTCCCCAGCTGCTGGTCCTGGCCCTTTACTGGACACATGGGCTCCACTCATCTCATTCTCATGTCCACCCCCTCCGAAGCCAACCCCTTGCCCCCTCTGCCTGTGTTGCTTCCTTCTTCTATTTGTCTTCCATCAGTAGTGACTGCTTTGCTCTGGAGCCCAACTGGGATCCAGCATCCTCAAGAGACGCTGTTCAAACCACTGGAGACTCCAGCTGCCCTTGGAGCAGAAACCCCACCGCAGGGCAGATCACTCATCCTCTGGCCCCTCACCCTCCAGGCAGGATTTGGGGCACCCTGAGAATCACGCTGAGATCGTGGATGGCTTCCCAAGCCCTATGCTCTCACACCCCAGGCGCCTGTCCTGGCTCAGCAGGACCTCCAGCCCCGGACTCATGCCCCCATGTCCCACCTCTGGACACGGCTGAACCCATGCAGCTCCTAGGATCCATCCAGCCCCACGCTACATTTCCTAGAGACCTTGCCCTGCAGTCCCAGCCCTTTCAAAGGTTCCCTGTTCCCAGCAACTGATTCAGACTCAGCCCCACTGAAGAGGGGCACAGAGAGATTTCTGCCTCCCAGCTTGTCCCCAGCACAGGGAAGCCCTGAGCTCTTCATTCACCCCCTACTTACGCTTGGGAGCCAGTGAGTGTCTGGGGAGGGTAAGCCCGGGTCCCCTGCTCCCGACTGAGCGTGCAAGGCTGGAGGGCTCCCGTGAAATGTGTTAGGGCTCTGGCATGGGCTGAGAGGAAACAGCAGTGGGACAAGCCTCCCTCCTCCAGGGCCAGCCTCTTAAAGGGGAACACATTCCTTTCTCCAAAGCTGTGCCTGGGAGCCGAGCAGCGAGGGCAGAGGGATGGAGATTGGAGAATGAAGGTCATTTTCATGGGCCAAAGAATTTCCATTTCAATTTCTGTTTAATCTTGCACCACAGGGTTGTGGGCTCTGCTGGGCTCCAAAGAGCTCTCTGCATGGTGCTGTTTCATGCATGGGGGAAGGAGATGGCCTGGGAGGGGGTCTCTGCTCTATGGAGCATCCCCCAGCATTACCAGGTGGAAGCCAGTGCCCAGAGAAGAAAGGCCAGACCTGGGGGGTTGATGGACTGACCAGGGCTCCCCGCTCTAAGCAAGGCAATGGTACCCTGTCCCAAGCATGGCTGTGGCAGCGTGTGGCAGCTGTCCAGACTTTTGAACTTTAGCCACAGTGTACAGCTTATCATTACACCAGTGGTGCGGGGCTGAGCTCAAACGGGCAATAGCCCCCTTTCTACCCAGGGGTAAAAGCTCTTGGAAAGGCTCCAGGAGGGAAAGGATGGGGCGTTGATCTAAGTGTTGAGCAAAGGAACCCACCGCAACATCAGACCCTTCCCTGCCTGTGCTGGTGAGTCCTGTTGGCATCTGCCTTAAAGTCCCAGCCTGGGTGAGGGCTCTTAATTTTGCCAAACCAATGCCAATTCCCAGTGAGAAAAAACTTTAGCTCCAGGACCAGAAGGGAAGAAACAAAAGCCCTTGAGAGGACAACATGGCAGGGGCAAGAGCAGCAACCAGGAGGTCCAGAGAGGAGGTGTGAGACAGTACACGCCCTACATTTCTTGACCAGGATGTGCCAGTGAGGCATAATAGTACCATGATGACGAGCACCAGGTGGTTCCCACAACAAGCCCAGTTTAGGGGTTCATATGAGGTCCATCCAGGACCAGTCACGAGGCCCTTAATTGGTTGGTGGCTTGGTTGGTTGGCAGGAGGCCTGGGAAAGGACCAAACTAAAGGTGCCAGGGAAGGTTTGGTGGAGAGTGGAGAGATGGAGGGGGTCATTTGTTCTGTTCATTGTAATGGATGTGGAAAGGGATCCTGCTAGTATGCTGATGGTGGCAAGGATATGGCTCATTGTGGTGTCAGATTGTTTCTCTTCTCTCATATCCCAGGCCAGGATCACATCCAGCCCCAGGGAATATGTCTTGCCAGCTGCTTGTGGCCACACACGTGTACTCATGTGCACACTCCTCAGAGGCTGGTCTTGGTCCCAGTAACATCGGTGTTCAGAGTCCTTGTGTCCTGGCCTCAATGAGGGCGCAAAATGGCCATACTGGTTGCCCGCTCAGACTCCCTGAGGCCCAGCGATTCCAGAGCCCCTGTTTACAGCTCTCTGATGCTGACACGTCTGCACGGTGTGAAGAAGAAGAGGAATTACAGAGCTGTGTGCATAGTGACCCCTCTGACCTGCCGACCCTCTCCGGGCCAGGCCTCTACAGCCACACATCTTGAATTTGTTATTTTATCAGGAGGAAATGAGCTGCCCCTGCATGAAGTGCAGGGGCCCGGGTCCAGTCTGCCCTCCAAGCAGAACTGATTCAAACCGGAAAGAAAACAACTCTTTCAAAAATAAACCGCCTGCTCTTCCCAGCCAGGCAGGCTTCTCTGGTGCGGACTGGGACGCTGAACCAGATGGTGGCCGTGGAGCTGGTGGGGACCAGGGGGGCAACCTCTCCTGGCGTGGGTCAGGCCTCAGCCCTGGAAGCAACCTTTCCTGGGGCGGCTTGGGCCTTGATGCTGAGGGGACAGGAATCCTTTACCAGGACAGTTTACACTACTGAGCTGGAGAGGAGGATGGCCTTTCCCAGGTCAGACTGGGCCTTAGAGCTGGGGGCCAGGCAGGCTCCTTCTGTGCTAAAGAAACAACCCCCTAGTTGTTAAAACTGAGTGCACAAATCTAGCAGCGAACACAAACGCTCCCTAACCCTGCACTGAGAAATGTAGCATCGCTTGTGGAGGGTCTGTCAGCATCCTGGCTGGCCTGGGTACAGAATGGGCTGCCATCTGCACTGCGCTCCCTTTGCAGATATAAGGGGCATGTTAGACATGATCTTGTTTCCCTACGTGCCATCCGCTTTGATTGCTGTGACGCAAGCAACTTCTCTGATAAGCACAAAACCAACTGCTCGCCGGTGCCTGGAAGTGGCTTTATCTGCCTGTCTGCTTCTCAGCAAGGAGCCAGTGGCCCCTGTCTCCAAGGGGAAGCCCAGGAGAAGAGCGTTATAGGCACTGGGACCTTGAAGGTTGGTTACTCACTTCCAGTGGGTCCAAAAGCAGGTCTCTGGCCTCAGAGAGCCCCTCCCAGCTACTGGAAATGAGTGCAGGACAATATGGGATGGGAAGCAGAGTGCTCACATTTGAATTCCCGTTGGTTAGGGATAAGAGCCTGCCTCCACTCACATGCCTGGCTAGCTCCAGCTCAGCTCTGGTGCTGCAAGGGCAAGGGCTTTCACTGCTGGTTCTCCCATTGCCTCCCCCTCTGCTGAGCACACCTTTCTGCTCCATCGCTTGCTGCCCGTGTTACTCATTCCATTGCAAAATCTATTCATCACCGGGTTCGTGTTTCCTACATTGAGCAATTATGAATGTGCACATGGACAGATGGAAAAACACACCTTTCATCCCACACATTCGAGGGGGGCGGGGGGGTGGTAAGGATGGCTTGATAAAACCTAGATAGGGGAAACATTGTCTGGGAAAGCCAGAGACCGGATATCAGTGGAAAATGGAGACTTGAGTTCTTATCTCCTTCTGTTGACATTGGATTAAGTGGCTTTCTAGCCAGGGGGCAGAAGGAAGGACCATGGGGCCAGAAAAAGGAAAATCTGTTATATTAGAGAGAGAAATGCCTGGTCTATAACAGCCCTGCTGAGGGGGTAGGCTTGCTGCAGTGTTTGGGTCATGGGTTTGATCCTAGCATCAAAAGGAAGACGTACCACTTTTAGCCCAGCATGTTAGCAAAGGTGGTGGCTCTTTGAGGGGTAGTTAGACTACAATAGCTTTTACCCATCTGCTCCCAGACCCTGGGGGTAGTTACAGAGCCCTGAGAGTAGGTGTGCTGTACAAAGTGAGTAGTGTGCTCAATCCTCTAAAGCTGGTGCAGTTTATATCAGCTGCTGTAACCACAGGCCCTCTGCCTCAGCACCACGCTTGGCTGGGTAACACCAAGCAGCCGCTGGGTTGATACAAGCCCGTGCTCAGGGGAGCAGAGTGGTCATTGCCTTGACCTGTCCAGTCGACATTTCCTTTGCAGCTGTGTGAAGTGGGACCCATGCAGCTGCTGCTGTCCAGGTGGGTCATGTGCAGATTTTGGGAAGCACTCGTTACTCATCAGCAAATTCCTTTCTCATTAGCAGGCCCTGCGCCAAGCGTGCTGGAGGGGCTCCTGGCCACTGCTGGCTAATCCTCCAACAATCTGCTTGGCTTGATCTGCTAATCAGTTTGTTCGAGGCCTACAATGAGGAGCTGATTAGATCTCCCTGGCGCCTGGGCACCAGGTTGCTACGGTTGCTGCTTCTTGGCAGCCCGCCCTGGGATAATGACACCTGCTCCTGACACTCGGTAGGTGGCCAAACACAGCATGAGGAGCTCTCCAAACTGTCCCTGCCTTGCAGAGAGGTGCAGTCCCTCCACCCAGTGCTCTATCTTGACCAAAGCTGCCAGGGAAGCCGGATCTGCCCTCCCTGCCTAGTGCTAGGTCTTGCTGAGCAGTGAGAAGGGGTCCCACCACTCCCAGCTGCCTGAGACATCAGCAGGAGGCAGTGGCCCAAGCCCCTGCCCCACCCTTGGCTGTTTGCTCAGCACCCTTTGTTTCAGTGAGTCATTGCCCTGTCTCCCCCTGTCTGTAGGAAGCGCTCCCTGGCAGCCCTTCTCGCAGGGCACAGTGCTCCTTGGCCCGACACCGAGTCATTTACTCCATTGTTTCAGCGCAGAGGAAAAAGCTGTGCAGTGCCCCGCATGCCTGGACAGTGCGTCCGGCTCCGCAGAGGACCCTGGAATGTGCTAAGGGGAAAGAGGGCTCTCTCCTTTCCTGGAGGCAGCCACGTGGTGCTGGGCTCAGAGCTCAGCCAGCCTGTGCTGAGCAGGAAACCCACCTGCCCAGGGGGAGGACGGCACTTTTCAAGTACCTCTCTGTGGCACCAGTGCCTTCCCTGACAGACCAGGCTGCCTCTGCTTGGGACTTCCTCCCTGCTGGGGCAAGCAGCATCAGGGAAAAAAGAAGCAGGAAGAAAGGATATGGAGTAATAGGAGCAGCTCAGAGTGAGGGGAAGGCCAGGGACTTCCCTTCTCGACCACACACCCTCTTCTTCCAGCTCTCTGGGCCACAAGGACAATGGCAGAGGTGTGTTCAGGGGCCCAGAGACAGTGGGTGGATTGGAGTCTTACTGCATCCTGTCCTGGTTGTGCAGAAAGAGCATCATGGAGCATAAAGAGTTAAACTCCAGGGGCAGGGACCAGCTAGGAGCCTCTCTGAGCTGAAGCCAGGAGCTGCAGCTGAGCCTATTTAAGCTCAGAAGAGGGCAAGGGCTGCTGTTGCTGGTCAGGGCTTTTTGGGGTAGTGGGGTTTGCAGGGCAGCCCTGGCTGGAGAGTCACTGCAGGAAGGTGGGGTGCTTGGCAGCCTGCTGGTCTGGACTCCGTGGGTGAGCAGGGAGCCTGCTGAGGGCTTGGCTTTGTTTCCTGCACTCTCTGCAGGGGCTCAGCCACTGGCCTGTGAGTACCTGAAGCAGCTGTGACTGAGTGCCAGGCTGGGTGGGATCTGGGTGGACGATGCCACTGCCTTACTAAACACCAGGGGAGCCCGTTGGCCCGCTTCGATCAATTCATGTCCTATATCAGAAGTGCCCTGTGGAAATCCAGGAACCTCCTGATGTACAGGCACACAAACCTCAAGGTGGTAGACTGTGTTAAAATGGCTTTGAGCGAACT